GAGTTTGAACCCCGGAAAAAAAAAAAAAAAAAAAAAAAAAGAAAGAAATATATGTGTTGGGAAGATAGTGGTTAATAATGCCAGCCTTGGCGTTAATGTGTTTTTGTTTTTCTTTTTCCTTCTAGTTTTTTGTTTGTTTGTTTATTTTTTGAGACATGGTCTCATTATGTAGGTCAGGCAGGATAGCCTTGAACTCATGATAAAGCCCAAAATGACCTTGAATCCAAATGCTGGGATTACGGGCATGTACCCAGCTCCACAAAACTTTTGATTTCCAACACCTAGGATAGTCTTCAACCAATTCCTTAAGCATGTAGTAACAAGAATAATTTCTTATGTAGCCTGTTACAGTTTATAAAGCACTCTGACATTTATTTAATCATCCTTACATTCTCATACCCATTTAATGGTTCAGAAAATAAAGGCTCGGCGATCTGGTGACTTGGTCAGGACAGAGGCAATTGGACTACAGATTTGGCTCTTAAACCAGAGCATCTCTTTGCCAATTCATTGTATTTCCTGCTATCACACTGCAGTCTTTTTTTTTGAGGGGGGGGTTTGGTTTTTTGAGACAGGGTCTCACTAGGTAGTTGAGACTGCTCTGGAACTCACTGTGTAGCTGAGGCTGGTCTTGAACTTGCAGTGATCCTCCTGCCTCAGCCTCCTGAGTGCTGGGATTACAGGTTTGAGCCAACACGCCCGGCACACTGCAGCCTTTTTGTTCAGGGGAAAAGCTCTAAAATAGTGTGCAACCTTAAAAAAAGAAAACTTTGATATTCTTCTTTGCTGAAACTTGCCGGACAGAGTTTTTCTAAGAAAAAGAAGAACAAGATCAAAAAGCCTTTATTTCCGGGGAGTTAAAAGATGCTGATCCACGAACAGCTCGTTATTTTAAGCTTGACATTCAGATTTGGGCATCTCGTGTACTGACTCAATGACCGTCTTCTCGTTGTTCTGCGTCCCCTCCTTTCCGTGCAGATGTGGCCGTAGCTGTGACTTATAACCACGACGGGTCCTACAGCATGCAGGTGAGCCGTGGGGAGGCCGTCCTGGGGCAGCCTGGAGCTGCTCCGTCTCCTGCCGAGTGGGGTCTTTTCACACTCCTGTTTCTCCTAAGCCTTTAGCTGCCTGGCTGCGGAGAGGCTGAGCGTTTGTTCCACTCCAGTGTGGGAGAGTCAGGCTCCATGGTTTCCAGCTCACTGCTTACTTAGTTTGACTATGAGTCCCCGAAGAAGGCAGACCTGGCTAAAGAGGAATAGCCTTGGGTCAGGCATCTAACAAGTCCCTGGAGTTGTGCGTGCGTTTCCATCACAAGCAGGGGTCCTCGGATTGTTGGGTTCCATCCATAACCCTATTCTCTCTCTCCCTTTCTCTCGCCCTCTCTCCCTCAGTCTCACCCTCCCTCCCACCACTCCAGGCTAGGCTCAAACTTGTGATCCTCCTGCCTCAGCCTCCCAGGTGGATTGAATTACAGACCTGTGCCACTGTACCCAGCCCTAAACATTCTTAAAAATTACTGAGACACCCCCCAGCCCCAAAGAGCTTCTGTTTATAAGAGTTATATCTATTGATAGTTACCATTTAGAAAACTAAAAAAAAATTTAACTGAGACAATTTTATTTTTTTAATTGTGAAATATACATAAAACTAGTTTTAAGTATACATCTCAGTAGCATTAAATGCATTCATATGGTCATACAACCATCACCATCTAACTCCAGAACTTTTTTAATCTTGAAAATTCTGAAATTCCATACCAATTTTTTTGGGGGGATATCGGGGATAGAACTCAGGATCCTTTGGTTATGAGGCAGGTGGTGGAACCACTCAGCTAAATCGTGAGTCTCAATTTTTTATTTTTAGACAGGGTCTTGCTATGTAGTTCAAGCTGGCCTTAAACTCACTATGTATCCCAGGCTGGCCTTGAACTCAGCGACCCTCCTGCCTCAGCCTATCAAGTGTTATGATTACAGGCACCACCATGCCTGGGTTCAGTACCAATTAAACAATGTTAATTCAATTCTTTTTCCCCTTGGCTGCTGAGAATAGCCATCCTACTGCTTCTGTAAATTTGACTTTTCTAAGTATCTCATATAAAGTGGAATAACAATATTTGTCTTTCTGGGACTTAGTATGATGTCTTCGAGGTTTTTCCATATTGTAGCAAGCATCAGAATTTTTTTAAAGTGAGTACTATTTCATTGTATGTATGTACCACATTTCTTTATCCATCCGTCAGTCTTGTTTCCAGCTTTTAGCTATTGTGTACAATGTTGCTAGGAACATATTACAAATGTCTCTTCCAGGTTCCTTTTAAAATTTATTTGTGTATGTGTCAATTTTAATGTGAGCTAAGAGATTTCAAATACTGAAAAATAGATGATATGCGTTAGACTTCACAACACATTTTGAGACACATTAGTATTCTCTCTGAGGTTCAGAAAAGCCATGGGAAATTCTCCGACTTTAATATACGAGAGTTGTAATTCATCTTGGGGCCTCTAGTTTGAGGATTCTTTCTTGTTTCATGGTAATTGTTAAAGTAACAGATTTGTCTTAACCTGTTCATAGAGCTAAATCCACAAGTTTAGAATGTGCTTTTGTGATTCTTAAGCAAAACCATTTGCAGGCTAACCTTTATGTCCTGAGAATTTCACAAACATTCCAGTGGCTGTTTTAGTAGGTTATAAAAGGGAGTAAAATGTCATATTTAACCTAGGACGATGAGAACCGGTGTATAAATATTGCAGTGTGACCTATTTCACCGCAGCCTCCATAATATTTTTTTTTTCTTTTTTTTTTTGGTACCGGGGATCCAACTTGGGTCCTTGCGCTTGCAGGGCAGGCCACTGAACCGCTGAGCTAAATCCCCGGCTCCCTCCATAATATATTTTAAAAGAACAGCCACAGGACTTCTGCACTAACGTCATGGGCATTGAAATGGAAAACAGATTTTCTGTGTGTAAGGGAAATTTTCTCGAGTGTATATATATATATGTGTGAGAAAATATTCTTTTTTCTTGTTTTGTTTTTGGAACTAAACAAAGAGATTGAACCCAGGGCCTTCTCACTGAGCTACGACCCCTACACCCCTGCCCCTTTTCTTCTGAGACAGTTTCCCTAAAATGCCCAGGCAAGGTTTGAACTTGCAGTCCTCCTGCCTCAGCCTCCTGAGTGCTGGGATCATAGGCGTGTGCTACCGGGCACAGCTTCTTTTCTATTCTCAGATGAACCATCAGACTGCTGAAGACAGGTTATATAACTTTTTTTTCTTTTAATTATCAGTTTGCTTATTCTTCCTAAAGTATTGGGGGGGTGGGTTCCTACATAGCTTTTTGAAAAATGCATTTTATGTGTCACCTTTTGAATCTGCTAATAGTGAAGGTGGATTCTGGTTTTATTAAATCTTTAAGATTGGGCTGGGGATGTAGCTCAGCAGCACCATGCCTCTTGGCAAGAGCAAGGTCCTGAGTTCGATTCCCAGTACCCCTCTTCCCCTCAAAATCTGTAAGATTGTTCACTTTTATTTGAAGAGCTTATTTTCCATTTTTTTCCAGATCGAAGATGAAACCTTCCAAGTCCTTGGTGCTCTTCACAGCGAGGGAGACTGCACTTACCTGAGAAGCTCCGTGAATGGAGTTGTCCGCAGGGCTAAGCTGGTCACCCTGGAGAACGCCGTGCACCTGTTCTCCATGGTAACGGCGCTTCAGCGTCGCCCCCGGGTGGGAGGGAAAGGCCTGACCCAGGTGGTTCCCTGCCCGGAGGGGAGACCCGCTCGCCTGGGCCACTGCCCTGGTCGCCTTTCCCTCAGTTTCCCCACACACTCCGGCCTTCCTAATTCTCCGTCCAGGCGTCCTGTTCACGCCGATTCTCCAGAATCCCGGGGACTCGGGAGGCGGAGACCGGGAGCGGAGTGGGGCCGGGTGTCCCCACGTGAGGGGACATCGGGAGGGGACGGAAGCCCCACACGATCGGCACCCTGAGCCACGCGCAGAGTCTGTGCAGCGCCCCGAAGAGACTTTAGTTCCAGCCCTGGTCCTGCCTCTTACAGCTCTGTGACCGCGGGCAGGGAAATTTCTGGTCTTCGGTTCCCCGTGTGCAACAGAATGGTAACGACCTTCCTGACGGAACTGTTGTGTCAGTGACATCATGTGTGTCACGTCAGTGCCGCCATCAGCTGGACACTTGATAGTGATGACACCAAAAGTCACTGTGGCCGTCTGTCACCTGCAGTCAGTTCTATGCTTTAATTCTTTTTGGCAGGGTGCCACTGAGCTAAATCCCGGGCCTCTTTATGTTTTAATTCTTTTATCTCCTATGAGGCAGGTACACTGTCTCACTCTTTTTTTTGGTGTTGTTTGTTTTTGTTTTGTTTTGTTTTTTGAGACAGGGTCTCTCTATGTAGTTCAGGCTGTCCTTGAACTCACTGTGTAGCCAAGGCTGGTTTTGAACTCAGGGCCAGTCCTCCTGCCTCAGCCTCCCAGGTGCTGGGATTACAGACATACCCACCACGCCTCGTGTGTTGCTCCCTTATAATGGAAAACCAAGAGGAGAGGGGTCTAGTAACCCACTCAAGGTCAGGAAGCTAGATTAGAGAGCCAGGCACAGTGACACCTGCCTGTAATCCCAGCATTCAGGAGGCTGAGGCAGGAGGATCATGAGTTCAAGGCCAGCCTGTACTACACAGTGAGACCCAGTCCAAATAAATAAATATTGGGTTAGAGCCCTGGTACTGATGATGACTATGCTTAACGAACAGCTTGAAAAGTCGTTTCAATCGCATTCATAAAAATTCAGTGATGCGGTCTTGATTCCATTTTAATTTGTTTTCTTTTTCAGGAAGGAAGTATCGAGATCACCGTTCCAGTGCCCAAATACTTGTCTTCAGTGAGCTCAGAAGGAACCCAGGGAGGTACCATAGCTCCTATGACGGGAACCATCGAAAAGGTAATCAGGGGACAAGAGTGGAACACACAAAAGGCTGGTGTCCTGGACACGCATCCTCTGTCCTCTCTCAGTCCTGCTCACTGGAAAGTATCTATTTCAAGAAAACAAAGCGACCTCTTATGGATCCCAGTTCTATTTCAGTCTTCAGCAAAAATATCTACTTACCTAGCTTATGATAAAGGCTGTTGTTTGCTTGCTTTTGGCGCTGGGGGTTGAACCCAGGACCTCGTGCGTGGTAAGCACGTGCTCTACTGCTAAGCTACACCCCTAGCCCAGGGTTTCTGGGATTTTTCCAAGTTTTGGTTTTGCTTTGTTTGTACCGGGGATCGAACTTGGTCCTTGCGCTTGTGAGGCGGGCACTGGAACCACTGAGCTACATCCCCGGCCCCAAGTTTTGGTTTTTAAAATATTTTTATTAGTCCATGTGTGTGGTGCATGATTACAGTCACCATGGAAAGTTGCTTCAGGTCCATAATGCATTTTGATTGTTTTTCATCTCTTCTTCCTCCCTCCCCTACCCTCTCCCACCGTCTGCTATTTTTGAAGGTGGGACTGTACATCACAGTACAAGTGGTGTGGTGCTGAGGGTGTCACTCAATAGTAAAGCACATGCTTAGCATTCACGGGGGCCTGGGCTCGATTCCCACGCCCCCCCCCATAAAGGTACAAATAGTGCAAATTGTCTGGTTTTGTTTTGTTCGTTCGTGTGTTTTTTGAGACAGAGTCTCACGTTGTAGTCCAGCCTGATTTACAGCAGTTCTCTTGCCTCAGCCTCCTGAGTTCTGAGATTACAGGTATGTACCACCATGCCTGGCAGTGTTAAATTTAAATTTTGTCTTGAAATGAGAACAGTTATCACATGGTAGTGCACGCTGTAATCCCAGCACTTGGGAGGCTGCGGCAGGAGGATCGCCATGAGTTTGAGGCCCGCTTGTGTTCACAGTGAGTTCAAGGCCAGCTTGTACTACTTCAAATACATACATAAATAAATGGGCTGGGGATTTCGCTCAGTGGTAGGCAGCAGAACCGTGGGACTGCTTTTATAAAGGACTCAATTCCTTACCACCTCCCGAGGCCCCAGTTTGAGTCTTGTCACTTTAGGATTGGGAATTATCGGGTGATGCAAACATTCCGACCCTGGCAGGGACTTGATATAACCTCAAACCAGGATAGATCAGTGAGTGGTCTCCTTCTAGGCCCTGGGACCCTGAAGAGTCTCCCCAGATGCGTGAAGTTGTCAACATTCAACTGTGTGTTCTTGGTAGCAAAAAAGGAAGGAGACAATGACTGCCTAAAGGGTGTTGGTGATGTCACCCACCGTTCTCCTCAAGGAGTATTTGCCCCATGGGGCTGTGAGCAGAGAGACCTGGCCCTGCCTTGGGTTTGTTCCGCCTGAGTTCCCGAGATCTGTCATAGTGTGACATTCCTGCAGAGGGGTCGTCTGATATTTAAAGATAGACATTCTGAAGCCAGAGCTGTGGTGCTCCCCTGTAATCCCAGCACTCAGGAGGCTGAGGCAGGAGGATCGCTGTGAGTTTGAGGCCAGCCTGGGGTACACAGTGAGTTCCAGGTCAGTCTCAACTACATAGTGAGACCCTGTCTCAAAGAAACAAAAACAAAAATAAATAAATAAAAATGAAAGAAAGGCAAGCATTCAGACAGACATTTTGAGCCAGGGATGGCTCACCTGGGAGGGCTCCGGAGAGACTGAGGCAGGTGGAGCCTTGGAGCCTAGGAGTTTGAGGTCAGCCAGGAAAACATAGTGATATCCCACTTCAAAGGACAAAAAGGCTGGGCTGGGGTTTAGCTCAGTGGTGCCACCTCTTGCCTTGCAAGTGCAAGGTCCTGAGTTCCATCTCTGGTACCAAAAAAAGGAAAAGAAAAAAAGGCACAGATCCTAAGTCTGGTGGTGGCAGGCAGAACCAGGAGGATCGCTGCGAGTTCAAGGCCAGCCTGGACTGCATAAGGTAAACAAACAAACAAAACATAGCAAAAAGCATTGCTCAAGATTGTGTCACCTGTGGGGCTTTCAAGAATGTGTCCATATCTTACAACTTGGGCTCTATACAATGGCTTGATTTATTTGTTTGTTTGTTTGTTTTGTACCAGGAATCAAACTCAGGGTCTTGTGCTTGTGAGGCAGTTACAGAGCTACTGAGCTAAATCCCTGGTTGTTTGTTTATTTTTGAGACAGAGCCTTACTATGTAGTCCAGGCTGGCCTTGAGCTCACAGGGATCTTCCTGCCTCAGCCTCCCACATGCTGGGACTACAGGTGTGCCCCACCATGCCCAGCTCACAATGACTTTAGAATTTGACTCCACTATGTAGAGTTTCCAAAACCTCAAAAAGTCTGTGGGGTACCATGGTGCATGCTGTAATCCCAGCACTGAGGAAGGCTGAGGCAGGAGGATCACAAGTCCCACACAGGTAACTTAGTAGGACCCTGACTCGAACAAAAGAGCCAACAAACAGATCCAGGCACTGGGAATGTAGTTCAGGGGTAAAACACTGCTGGCTTTGATCCCAGTGCTGCAAGGGAAAAAATAAGGAAGATCGTAGGGGAAGCGTGAGTTCCTTTACACACAGTTGAATGACAGCTTCATGTATCTGCGGAAGCTCTCCAGGGTCTCAGGGCCTAGGAGGAGACCACCGATCTATCCCGGTTTGAGGCTGTATCATTGCATCTGGTGTTGCTGATAAATTTAATTCTCTCAGGTGAGGGTGGTCTACACGCTCAACCCCCTAGGGCCCTGAAGACGTGACACTATCCTGGACAATCCCCAACTGAGAACCCGTCAAGACGCATTCCTCTGCCCTGCCCGGGTGGGCACGCTTGTTTCTCTTTGACCTTCCCTGCTGGCCAGACATCTGGGTTACACATTCGTGAAGGAGACCGGAAGAATGCCAGGAACCTCAAAAGGGGCTTCATCTGATTCGAGCAAACTAGCTGGCTTGGGAGAGAGGGACAGGGCTGAGCCGTGCTGGCCCTGCCGGTGTCACCCAATGCCTCTGTGGCGGAGCTCGCAGCCGAATAGACACGGCTTCCGCTCCATGCAGACGACAGAGCTCCAATGCCTTCTTACACGTTAACCCGTCCCTCTGAACCCCCAGGTGCTTGTGAAAGCTGGAGACAAAGTGAAAGCCGGAGATTCTCTCATGGTCATGATCGCTATGAAGATGGAGGTGCGTGGAATGATGCATTCAGTTGAGCAGTAAACCTTGAGAAGCATCGCACCAGATTGTTCCTCTGCCTTATGGCAGAGGTTAATACCATTTTAAATGTGAAGAGCCACAGATTGGCTGGGCATCAGTTGCAAAACCAAACTGGGAGGCTGAGGCAGGAGGATCACCCCATGAGTTCGAGGCCAGCCTGGGGTACGTAGTGAGTTCAAGACCAGCCTGAACTAAACAGCTAGACTGTCACACACACACACACACACACACACACACACACACACACACACACACACACACATAGCTGCTGAGGTTTTTGGACAGTTGGAAATTATAGGAGGTGAGTGGTTCCCAAGCCTGGATAAGTTTTGCATTTGCCTGGCGAGCTTTTCCGAAGCGCTTCCCTGGACAGGTGCCTGAGCAGGGTCGCAGGAGTTAGGGTCCAGGGAGCAGCGCCCCCCACGTTGGGATGAGCGCAGGCTTTGGCCGAGCTGGGCAGGCTGTAGGGCTGCGTGCCGCGCTGCTGCGGTTCTCACGCCAAGCTGGAGCTGAGAGCTCTAGTTCGTCCCTGGCTTTGCAGTGGCGTCCTTGAATGGGTCCCTGGAGTGTCCAGGAGCGACTGACCCTAAACTCGTCACCATGTGCTGAGGGTATAAAAAAGAAAGAAAAACCTCGGGAGGCAAAGGGACTAGGAAACATCAAGACCATCGCGGGCGAGGCGGAGCCGTGACCCCTCTGTGTCTCCGCAGCACACCATAAAGGCTCCCCGGGACGGCACGATAAAGACGGTGCTCTTCACGGAAGGGTCGCAGGCCGACAGACACTCCCGTTTAGTCGAATTCGAGGAGGAAGAGCGTGAGGGGAAGGGGTCGGAATAAACCACCCCGGAAACTCCGCTGCGCTGTGCAGAATCTGCATCTGCAAAGCTGCTTTCGCCCAGCTCCCCTAAGCAGCAGTTTTTACCAAATCAATGATCGGGAAGGGGCTAAAACCCTTCCCCATGGGAGAATCATGTCCTGGGGTCCCAAACGCAATACTAAATGATCTCAAAAGCATTCATATTAATAAAATCAAATTCTACTTTTTTATCATTAGAAGCTAACATGGCTTGTTTCTGCCTCTGTAGTATCTTTTCGGGAGGAGCCATAGCAAGTTGGTCAAAAGGGAACGACCGGAAGCAAAATGTCATTCAATGAAATGAGTTACTTCCCAGGTATAATCATTCTGAACACAGAGAAAAGACATATTTCAGAGACAGATGCCGTAGAGCTAAACTCAACCAAGATTTTATTTTTCAGAGTAACTTATTAGGCAGTTTAAAAAGAAGGGAAGTTACTTGTTTCTAGTCTTTGCAAATGGAAAATTTCTCTTTAGACAGTCTCCGTCTTATTTTTGTGATATACTTTCTTTCTTTTAAAGACAGGGTCTCACTATGTAGTTGAGACTGACCTGGAGCTCACTATGTAGTCCAGGTTGGTCTCAAACTCACAGCGATCCTCCTGCCTCAGCCTCCCAAGTGCTAGGATACTGGCATGCGCCACCATGCCTGGCCTATGATATTATACTTTCTAATCTTGCAAAAAAGGCTGTATATTATGCTGGAATGGAACACAGTATTAATAACCAATTTGGATAAATTTGAAAAAACATAACTTCACAGAAGTGGGAAAAGTAGAAATCCTGAATGCTTTTTTCTAGAAACACTTCTTAAATTACCAATGAGTTTTATTTCTTTTGTCTGGATTTCTAAGTTACTGTATTTTCGTATATTCACTGAAGTTTTACATATTTGCTGAATTGCATTCTTGCTGAATACACAGGCTCTGTCAGATGTGGTGGAGGACACACACATGCAAAAGACAGTTTCTGTACTTTCTGGTGCCTATAATTTAATTGAGAAAATACAACACAATCATGTCAAAAGTTGTATTAAAGAGGAAACCATCAAATCCACAGTTAATCTAGCTCCTAGCTGTAAGCAAGCAATCCCACTGAGGAGTCAGCAGCAGGAAGAGAGATCCAAACACCGATAGCCAGGTGTGGTGGTGCACGCCTGTAATCCCAGCACTGAGGCAGGAGGATCGCTGTGAGTTCGAGACCAGATTGGGCTACATAGTGAGTTCCAGCTCAGTCTCAACTACATAATGAGACTCTGTCTCAAAACACCAAAAAAAAAAAAACAAAAAACAAAACAAAACAAAACAAAAAACCTGAAGTTGGGAATGGTGAGTTTCCACAGAAACCTGACTGCACAGCTTTGAGCCCACATTTCTGCCCCAGGCAGCTGAACCTCAGCACCCACTGTCGTGGGGCGGTGAAAAACAAACTGTGGACTGTTGGGTTTGTATGGCGGGGAGGGCAGAGGGTAGTGATGACTTAAAATTTTCTTTTCTTTTTAAGCAGTAAAAGCTGTGATATTTTGGGGAAATGTGTCTATTAAAGCACACCTGAAAGCTGGGTGTGGTGGTGCACACCTGTAAAGCCAGCAGTTGGCAGGCTGAGGCAGGAGGGTCACCATGAATTCGTACATAGCCTAAACTACATAGTGAGGTCTGTCTCAAAAACATACACATGGGATTGGGCTCAGTGGTTCCGCCACCTGCCTCGCAAGCTCAGGGGCCCAAGTTTGATCCCCAGTACCAAAAAAAAAAAATACACAGCAAAAAAAAAGAGGAGAAAGCAAAGCTTCTCTAATAAAAACTCTAACTGCTGTTTGCTGCCTTGCAGAGAATGCTGTTTGTATCTTTCAGTGGCCTTAGGTGGAGTTCTCTAGGTGACTGCCTCAGGAAGAACTGTGGAGGAGGAACTTAAAGCCCCCTAGCTCCAGTACCTACAGATATTTACTATCTAGCATGGCTTCTGAAAACAAAGACAAGAAACTACTTCTAGCCACTCACGGTGATGCCCGCCTGTAATTCCTGCTACTCAGGAGGCAGAGGCAGGAAGATCACCAAGTTTGAGGCCAGCCTGAGCAATTTGATAAGACCCTGTCTCCAAACGTCCATATGAGGGAAGGAGACTTCTGTCCTCGTAACAGCCAGTGGGACGTGGGACCGAGCTGTGTAGAGATGTGCAGCAGGGAAGGGTATTACTGTCACCTGTGCAGTAAGTGCCACGGGAGGGCAGGCGAGTGGAGCGCTGCTCCTTTGTTTGGGTCAGAACGCTGAAGGGACGGCAGAGACGCTGGACCGGGGCTTTGGGGGAGAGAAGGTGGGAGGTGCAACTGCCCCGGGCAGGGCTGGGCTGGCAGGGGCCGGTCCTGACTTCACTCCGGGACAGCGGGGCTGCTGAGGTCTTCACGGAGTGCTTTCCAAGCCGCGGTTTGCAGGCTGCAGTACAGACTGGACTGGGGAGAGTGGAGACCCCACGGGAGGCCCCTAGAGTGGGGCCAGGACCCAGCTCCGGGACTGAACAGTACCTCGAGCCTGGGTACGAGCTCATAGTACAGCCTGTGACCAGCCTGTTCAAGCCCTGGGCTCCATCTCAGCACCAGAAACGAAACAAACATTTCTAGATGAGATCTCTTGGTAGGCATGGACCCCAGGCAGAGTCACAGTTGGAAAAAGCAGCCTTCTCTCTTCTAGACGGCAGTGTTCTGGAGGCAGCTACTCAGTCTGCAATAGCCAAGCAACCACAGAATCTAAGCCTGGCGGGTCCCCCTCTCCCCCCACACATGCTAAGCATATGCTCTACCACTGAGCTCCACCTCCAGCCCCGTGATGCGTTTGAATTTTGGGTGTGAACACAAAGTATTGTACTCAAAACGCGACCTTAGAGATAAAATGCTTGCCGCCTTGTTGTTTGGGGGGATTTTTCTTTCTTTTTTTCTTTTCTTCAGACAAGGTCTCACCATGTCGTCCAGGCCGGCCTCAGACTTGTGGTGATCCTCCTGCCTCAGCCTCCCCAAATGCTGGGATCACAAGCATGAGACACGATGCCTGGCTCTTATCTCTTTTTAGCTATAGCAACTTGAGCAAGTCATTTACCTCACTGAGCTCTGTCTGTAAAATTGGGGCAGCAGATGTACCTCACAGAGTCATTTTGGAAGTTAAATGACAAGATGTAGCTGTTGCCTTTAGCACCTGGAGCCTTGTTTGTATTCAACTACTAGTCCTTAACTTCTAACTCTTAGTTTTTGCTAGGGAACAATTAAGAACCCGGACTAAATTCAGCCTGGCTGGTCACTCTTCCTAGGAAAAATGCAGGCCCTTGGGAAGCGAAAAGATCCTGCCTGGGCAAGCAGGCACCAGCCCGTCCTCTCTCACCCCTCCTCCCCCAGCCGAGCCTGTTCCAGGGACACCGGGCGTCCATTGGCCACAGGCGGATCTCACTGGCTCCAGCCTCGACCGAGCTGGCCTGTCACTGGAGCTGCAGGGACAGCGGTGCCCGGCAGCTCGCCTCTGGCACGAAGGCTGGGCCTGGACTTGCCCTGTTGCCCGTCAGCTGTCACACGCATAGCTGGCACTGCCGGGAGCGGGCCTTCCTGTGTGGGCTCGGCCTGGGTGTGGGGTGCACCTCTGCCTCCTGGGCAGCAAAGTGGGGTGACCGCCTAGCTGGACTCACTTTCTGCCTCTGATGGGCTTCTCCCCCTCTTGTACACTTCCCCTCAGAGCTCCTCAGCCGTCCACCCCGGAGGAGCTTCCCTGTCGTCCTTAAAATATTTCCAGCATTGATAGTAATACTTAGCACTTCTGTGGCACCTTTCAGCAGAGGATCTCCAAAAGCTCGCCTAGATCTTCACACCAGCTCTGAAACGCGAGAGAGGGAAGTGGGACTTAGGCTGTGTGAGAAGTGGGTGTCCTGGAACAGGGAGGGAGTCTCGGACGCACAGTCCTTTCCTGCTCCGAGGGCTGGAGGCCTTGGGGTGAGAAGTGTGGGGAACCCAAGAGCTGGCCTGTCCAGCTCCCTGACACCATGAGTAACCTGGAGGCGCCATTTCTCCCCGTACCCAAGATTACCTTGTCCCCCTGATGCTTGTGTCCCAGCTGCAGGACCCCCGAGGAACAGGAAAGCCTTGGCCTCTGAGTGGCTCGGTTTCCCCATTGAAGTTGCGAGCACAGCATGTTCCTCCTCTGCACCTCCCAGCACTGGGCAAGAGCAAGAGCGGCGGAGTGAAGGCCCTTCCTCCTAAGAATGGCGAATTCCGTTCTCTGCACACACTGCTCCTTGTTAGGGTTTGGCTGGATCTTTAGAATAGATTGGAAATAATTCTCAAAGGGGTGGAGTTATAGCTCAGTGGTAGAGAACACACTTAGTAGGTGTGAAGGCTTGAGTTCGATCCCTAGCACCCTTCTCAAAATAAACTAAAATAGGTGTAGTGGTGCAGGCCTGTAATCCCAGCACTTGGGAGGCTGAGGCAGGAGGATCGTTGTGAGTTCGAGACTAGCCTGGGCTACATAATGAGTTCCAGGTCAGTCTCAACTGCATAGTGAGACCCTGTCTCAAAAAACCAAAAATAAATAAAAAATAAAAGCATAGAACTGGGGATATAGCACTGTCTGCCTGACAAGCTCGAGGCCCTGAGTTCAATTCCCAGTACCAAAATAAATAAATAAAAAGGGCTGGGGATATAGTGCAGCAGCACCACACCTGCCTGGTAATCACAAGGCCCTGAGTTCAGTTCCTGGTATTAGAAAAAATAAATGGAAAAAAGTAAAACCAGAATTATCATTCCAACCCCCCCCAAAAAACCCGCAAATCTCCCAATTATTGCTTTTCTTCTTCTTCTTTTTTTTTTTTTTGTTTGTTTTTTTGAGACAGGGTCTCACTATGTAGTTGAGACTAACCTGGAACTCATTATGTAGCCCAGGCTGGTCTCAAACTCACAACAGTCCTCCTGCCTCAGCCTCCCAAGGGCTGGGATTACAGGCATGAGCCACCATGCCCAGCTAGTCTATTTCTTTTGATTGGTGAGTTGAAACCATTAACATTGATGGTTATAACTGATATGAATTGACTTATCCTTGTCATTTTCCTGTTGTTGGCTCCACTTTTTTCCCCCTCTGCTTAACTGCTTGCCTTGCCTGGTGGCTTCGTTATCCTGGAGTTCAAACGCTTGAAATCCTTGTTATTTCTTTCTAAAATATCCTACAGGGCCAGGGATTTAGCCAATGATTCCACAGCCTGTTTCACAAGTGCAAGTTCCCAAGTTCGATCTCCGGTACAAAACACACACACACACATTTAAAATATCCTTCGGGACACTTTGGAGTCCTGGTTTGGTGGCCATGAATTTCTTCAGGTGTTCTTTGTCATTAAATTATTTTATTTCTTCATCAATTTTGAAAGATAGTGTTGGGGGTACATCAATCTGGATTGGGGGTTGTTTTGTTTTAGGGCTTGAAATACTTCAGCCCAAGCTCTCCTTGAGGGTTTGTGTTGAGAAGTCTGCTGTAATTCTGATGGGCTTTCCTTTAGAGGTGATTTGTTTCTTTTCTCTAACAGCTTTTTTTTTTTTGTACCTGGGATCAAACTAGGGTCCTGTACTTGCGAGGCAGGCAGCAGATTCACTAACAGCTTTTAATATTTTGTTCTTACGTTGAATTTCTGAAATCTTAACTATTATATGCCTTGGTGTAGTTTTTTTGTTTGTTTTTGTACCGGGATCAAACTTGCCCTCACCAGTGCTTGTGAGGAAGGCAGAAGCAGCACTGAATTAAATCCCCAGCAGATTTTGTTTGTTTTGTTTTTTGAGACAGGGTCTCACTGTGGAGTTGAGACTGAGCTGGAACTCACTGTGTAGCCCAGGCTGGTCTCCAACTCACAGTGATCCTCCTGCCTCAGCCTCCTAAATGCTGGGATTACAGGCGTGCACCACCACGCCCGGCTTTATTCCTTTTTTTTTTTTGAAGGTGTGAAAAAATATTTTTTTTTGTACCAGGGATCAAACTTGGGACCTTGTGCTTGTGAGTCAGGAGGCAGAATCACTGAGCTAAATCACTGGCCCTCCTTTTTTTTTTTTTTTTTTTTTTTGGGAGGGGCTTTTATTTCTCT